CAGGCCACTGAAAACCAAACATAGCTCTCAATCCTAAAATCGTTGTGGACCCACAAATTTATTGTCATTTTCCCACATTTACTTTTTACTGTTGAAAAGTTAATTGCATTATTGCTCAGAATCTAATTCTACTGAATCCAGCAACATTTATTTCAATCTAAGTGTCTTTTCCCCCTTAATTCCTTATTGTTTTTAATAGTTGAAAAGCACCATTGACATGAATTTTCAGAGTGATGTTATGGCAACGTTTGAAGAAACTCTGCAGTGAAATGGAAATAGATGATTGCATTGCTTGCAGTTCTTCAAAACTGGTTATAGATTGCAGAAACTATTCTGAAGAATTGATCCAATATTGGAGTACCACTAATTTTTTTTTTGAAGAGCTAATATATAAATATAATTTCAGTTTTATAAAATTACATTTGCTGATTAAAATCAAAAAAGCCCATGCAAACTTCCATGGCATAATTGGTCAGCCCTTCTGAGGAAGTACTCCGAGTATTGTCATAGAAAAACTAAACATTTTAAAATGTGTTTTGACAACAACATTACAATCAGCCCCAATCTTTATTTTGGGAAGTGAAGAATTTAAGGAAAAGTATTGATGTGAGGGCTCAAAACTGTTGTTTAAATACATTCGAACAGATATGAAGGCAAATATAATTTTGGGAGAAAATACTTAAACTGGAAAGTTAACTGATGTTTAGCATCTCCCTTATATACTGTACATATAAATGCATTTTTGTTATGCTTAACGTTTTAATAAGGATACCTGCAGGTTAATTTTTGTCTGGCTTTGATTTTTAGTTAATGTGGTTGTTAATTTTTTTTAGTGGCAGTTTAACATTTTTAGCTCATTTAGAACTCAAATCTATCTGACTTGAAAAGATAAATCCTTTTTTCTTTCTTATTAAAATCTGGAAATGAATTGTGATTTTATATTCTCTGTGGTTTGCATTTTTATTTTTGTCTTGAATACCATCTTGCTTTATTTGATAACAAAGAGCATTTATATTTACAGTTTTCATATGACAATAAAATAAGTTTTCATACTGGAGTTAAGTTATTAATTTTGAACCTTGCAGATACCTAAATTAGTATTCTGTGCCAGAAAGTTTCTGAAACGCTTAGCTCACAGTTTGGCCTTTTTATTCAGAACCTCCACTCCAAATAGATTGGTTAATCATAACAATAATTAATAAAAACAGAGTATTCTGGCAATTAAAAAATTTAGCACATACTCATTATAGCATAAATATTTATTGAAGTGAAATATGTGGAACATTAATTTCCGAGAGCTTTCTGAGTAGAACAAAAAAGTCAGTATAAAATAAAATACAGGAAATAGAGTTATAATTACATACTGGTAATTGATCATTGGTATTCATGAAATAGCGTTCTTGCTATTGGTGAGCATAGGGTTGGAAGAACTTAGTTTCTGTTTAATCCACAGGAAACAGGCAGTTGAAATCTTTGTAATTATTTTGCTCAAGAATGACCACTAGCCACTGGCCTGAGTAAATTCATATTAAGTCACAGAAAAGTCATAGAGATACAGAAACGAGGGTGTTAATATGGACAGGGCACACATTTCTGTAAATGAGTCTAATTTGCTTAGCAAGTTATGCAAACTAGGTTTGGGCCTCTTGGGAATTGATACTCCATTTCTCATCTTAGGATCTGGGATCATATTTATTCTTCTGTAGAAACTGTCTGAGGTAACCTGTTATGGGACACTGTTGGCAAACAATGGCATCTTTAAAAAATGAGCCAATGTACTATATGAATCTCTGATATGATGAATAATTTTATTAGTAATCCTGCAATAATAGGCATGGAAATATATATTTTTATTTATTAGATTTTTATCCTGACTTTATTATTTTATAAGTAACTCAGGGCAATGAACATACTTTTCTTCCTTCCCTCCTTCCTCTTCCTATTTTCTCCACAACAATCCTGTAAAGTGGATTAGGTTGAGAGAGAGAGAGAGTCTGGCCCAAGTCACCGATCCGGCTTTCATGCCTAAGGCTGGACACCATCTCCTGGTGTTTAGGCCAGCACCTTAATTCCCAACACCAGAGCGTAGGCACGTTGCTCCTGGGCAACAGCTGCTCCCACCACCCACCACCCAGCACCAGTTTAGGGGTTCCTTCCCCCCAACAGAGAAGTTCCCTAAAGTTGGGTTCCAGCATGAGCCTGAAAGCTCAGAAGGGTAAATCTCTGGTCCCGGTGACTGACCCAAATTCAAACTCAAAAGTATACAGAACACACACAAGAAAAAAAGGAGGGAAAAAAGGAGAAATTCCCTCTTTATACTTACAGCAACCAATCATAGCATAGATTGCCTCATGCATGAGCCAACACTCTCTTAACTAATCAACTACAACTATATGTTCTGGCCTATTGTCCACTTTTACTGTTCCAGCTTCTAAATTCAATATCCTAACAATCCTCTACTTAGTCTTCATCAAACGCATATTTTAAATGCTTGCAGTGTGTTATAGGGTTTGTTTGCAGATTTGGTATCAAAGCTGGTAAATAGCCAAGCACAGAAAATGCCAGAACAATTCTCTACTTCAAATTTTCCAACTGATGAATGTACTGCCCCTGGAGTTTTCTATACTCTATGGGTTAATTAACAGCCTTTCTCCTTCCTTTATAAAAAGATAAGCATGTAAGTTCCTCCCTCCCTCCTTAGGCACATAATTCATGTGTTCATCTATTGGTTTGCAAACCACTACTTCGGACTGCAAGGAAAAATTGATTTTTGAAAGTATTAACAAAAACACTTAAGAGCCTGCAATGTCTTCTCCTCACCATGATATCAGATCAACCCTGCTTTACCTTTACAGTTTATAGCCATGCAACAACTCCCTCCTTTTGCTGGGAGAAACACACTTTACCTCTGTCCTTCTCCCAGCAAAAGGAGAGAATTGTTGCATGGCTATAAACTAGCATGCAAGCAAAATTGCATTTGATAGCATTTTTCCCCCAGGCTTGGACTGATGAGGGAGACACACAATTTTAAAGCTGATAGACCTTCAACTGGTCCAGAATATAGCAGCACGTACAGTAATGGGAGGAGGGATAGATTTGCCCAGTTGTGAAATCCAAATTTTTTTACTACCGGTTCTGTGGGTGTGGCTTGATGGGCAGGGGAAGGATAGTGCAAAATCCCCATCCCTCCTCACTCCTGGGGGAAGGATATTGCAAAATCTCCATTCCCACCCCACCCCCCTCTGGGCCAGCCAGAGGTGGTATTTGCCAGTTCTCCGAACTGCTCAAAATTTCCGCTACCGGTTCTCCAGAACCTGTCAAAACCTGCTGGATTTCACCCCTAGATTTGCCCATGTGTACACCTCTGTTGTGTGAGCTGCACTTCCTTCCAGTTTCCTTCCGGGTGCAATTCAAGGTGCTGGTTATCATCTCTAAAGCCCTACATAGCACAGGGCCAGGCTGTCTGCAGGACCACCTTTCCCTAAGGACATCTACCTGTCCCACAGATCAGTTAGGGTAGGCATTCTTCTAGTTCCTTTCCCTAAATACTGCCATCTGATGGAAACTAAGAAATGTCATTTTCCATGGCAGTCCTACACCTATGGAACACTCTGCCCGCCTGAAGTTCAGCAGACCTCCACCCCTCTTCCCTGAGGCTTTGAAGACCTGGCTTTTCTAATCAAAGGTTGCAAGATTAGATAATCACACAGTAGAAATCGATTGGTCCCAGATTTTTTTTAACGTTTTAATTGGTTGAGTTTCATAGTTTTAAAATGATTTTATATGTCTTTTAATTTTTGATTGGGAGCCGCCCAGTGTTGCTTGGCTGCATAAATGTTTTAAATAAATTAAAAAATAAACAAATTTCTGCCATAAGAAAACAAATGCTCTGAAATACTGGTTATCTTGGGAAGCACATTTTATCCATCTTTGAAGCTAGAGACTGATGAGGAATTAAGAGATTTTGGAAGCTTGCAACATACTCAGCTCAGGGATGCAGCTGAGAATGAGTGATCAGCAATAGAGATGGAAAAGACTATTGGTGAACAAACTTGTTCATTTTTACGGCAACTTTGGTTGCTGTAAAAACTAGGAAGTCTCTCTAGCTTAGAGCCAACCACATGACTGCATGTGCTGGTCAGGTTAAAGAACTATGCAATGGGGGTGAATGGGCAGACAATTATGCTCGATCAGGGTAGAGAATCACAGCTTTCTGTACATTACTGAATGATGGTGTCCAGGACTTTTCATTTTGAGTTATGCTGGCTGAGTCTGCTAGGAGCAGCAATTCAATATCTGGAGAGTTACAGGTCCTTCAATCCTGGACTAAAAATACATCACTAAGGAGAGTGATGAAACAGCATTCACCATTATCTCACTGTGCTCTGCTGCTCCAAGCTGTTTTTCTCCCAGCCTGACTCATTTTTGGTATCTGAAGCGGAAAACATGCTGTCTCCTGCAAGATCACTCCCACTTAAAAACAAAATTGTTATTGTTCAATAATTTCTTTCAGCTGAATCTTGCAATCTAGAGGAGAAGAAAATGACATGGCTCCATGCAGGAACATCATCTTTCTCGCACTCTCTTCCTTTTTAATAGTTGTCCTGTCTGGAGGAAGGAAGGAATAAGTATAGTGGTTGCTAGGCAACAACTGCCATTCCTCTACTACCACCAAAGCTAGAGGCAGGGAATGCCAACAATAATTAAAAGGCACTTGTCTTTACAACTACCGGTATCAGATTCAGATTGCACAATTCAGACACCCATAGAGGAATCTGGTCCCATCTAGTGGTGGTCTGGATTTTTGCAGCCCAGATCTGGTAAACCTGCTCCTATCCCCTCATCCCATAATCTGTTGCTCATTTACTCACTTATTACTTATTTAGCATTGCTCCTACTTTCCAGGAAAGAAATATATCACGCTAAAATTCTGCACAGATAAAATTCAGTTAGTTCAACTCATATAGCATTTTTTTTAAAAAAAGGATTCAAAGTTAATATTGGGGGAAAACTTGCTTTAATCCCACCTTATCTCCAAGACATGATATTATGACACCGAAAGCAGTAAAAGAGGTAGTAAGGAAAAAGAAGATTGCAATATTTTCTTTCTTGATGATTATGAAAATCAAAGTAACCAGTCTATCCTTAAAGGCAAAATCTAGACTACATAGAGGCCACTTACATTTTAGATAAGTATATTGCCAATCAATTTTGTAATATGACTAGATTGCCTGAATATATCAGAGTGTGAGAAAACACGTGTTATATGTAGCCCTTGTTTAATGTCCATTCATTCAGCAACTGTTCAAAGTTATGACGGCACTGAACAAAGGGTACTTGATCACAGGTCCTTGTAGTTGTGGTCATCCCAGCATTCCCAGAGTCATGTAATTGCAATGTGGCCATTTGGCAATTGGGTCATAACTATGATGTTGCACCATTCTGACATGATCACTATTTGCAACCTTCACTGCTGGCTTCCGACGACCAGTGAATGGTGAAGCCAGCAATAGGTTGCAAAGAGCAATTGTGTGACCAGGAGCACTGGGACTGCACAGGAATCGCTTAACAATGGCAACATGAATGGTCAGAACTGCCAGAACAGTCACATGATATTATGCCTTACCACCACGTCCCTTAGTGATGGAATTCCCAGTGCCAATTACCTTTGATAAGTGAGAATTACCTGTATTTTTCATAAAGGGGTTGATTTCTACCTCTAGTTGATCAATATATCCAGTATATTGGAGCATCAGGTAGCATACACACGAGTCGCCCTGCCACTGCTTTTCACCTCTGGAAACAGGAACTACCAACCTGAACCAGTATTTTCAATCTGGTCCCCCTAAATTAAAATGGAAGAATAATTATTGTGGCTGCAGTGATTCCTTGGCACATCTGGAGGTTGGAAGGCTGCTCTTTTAATTGAACTCTTTCAATTTCTTAATTGATTTTTTAAATTGAAACACCAGTATCAAGTGGTCACAGGGTCCCTGTCCTGCTTTCCAACACTACTATAGTGACACTCATCCGACTCATCTATACTTCCTTCCAAGCTACAGAATTTAGAGCTGCAGCTTTGCCCCACTTTATTCCCCTGGTCTTCAGACTTCAACAGAACAGAATAACAGAATTTGAAGGGACCTTGGAGGTCTTGTAGTCCAGTGGTGGGTTTCAAAATTTTTTACTACAGGTTCTGTGAGTGTGGCTTGGTGGGCATGGCATGGCTTGGGCATGGCTTGGTAGGCATGGCAGGGGAAGGATACTGTAAAATCTCCATTCCCACCCCACTCCAGGGGAAAGATACTATAAAATCTCCATTCTCTCCCCACTCCAGGGGTAGGTTACTGCAAAATCCCCATTCCCTCCCAATCAGCTAGGACTCGGGAGGCAGAGAATAGATGGGGCCGGGCCAGTCAGAGGTGGTATTTACCAGTTCTCTGAACTACTCAAAATTTCCGCTACCGGTTCTCCAGAACTGATCAGAACCTGCTGAAACCCACCTCTGTTGTAATCTATTCCCCGACCAAGCAGGAGAGTCACCAGACTCTGATTTGGAGCATCCTACTGTTTGAACACAGGGAGTTGGTTCAGTTAACATTTGGCTTGTATTAACTTATGTTTTTAGTATACATATATTTATCTTTTATGACTGTAAGCCACCCAGAGTTGCCATGTGGCATCCATTAAATTTTACATGGACAAACAAGCAAACAAACAAACAGTTTTCCTTCAATCCTGTTGGATTCTCAAAAGCCGTGGTAGTACAGTGGCCTAAAGCACCCTGTTATTAAGACCAGCTGCCTGCAATTACTGCAGGTTCGAATCTCGCCAGGCTCAAGGTTGACTCAGCCTTCCATCCTTTCTAAGGTAGGTAAATTGAGGACCCAGTTGTCGGGGCAATAAGCTGACTTTGTATAAGTATACAAAAGGATGAAGGCAATTGCTTAGCACATTGTAAATCGCCCTGAGTCTCCGGAGAAGGGCGGCATATAAATCAGATTAAAAAAAAAAAAGCTGCCTGGACTAGTTCCTGACATTTTCTTGGCAAGGAGTTTCAGAAGCGGTTTGCCCTTGTCTGCTTCCTAGGGCTGAGAGAAAGTGGCCCACAGTCAGTCAGCTCCTTTTGAACCCAAGGCGGGATTAGAACTCACTCTCACCCGGTTTCCAGCCAGATGCCTTAACCGCAGTTCCCAAAGGTGTCGCGTAACGCAAACGTGGCTTCTGAACAACTTCAAATAAAGTTCCTCCAGGTCTGTCCAGCCTATCGTTAAGCTTCCACTTCAACCGAATGAATAGTTTTATTCTGCCGCTTCTCATTATAACGGCTCTGGTTTAACACTCGGTAAGGCGCGCAGGTCGTTCCGTCCGCGGAAAGATGAACCGAAGCACCCGCTTCCTCGAACGCGCTCACGTCCGCAATTTTAATATGCAAAACGCGCGCCCTACCACCACCACCACCCCGCCCGAACCAGACCTGAATCTCGTCTAGTGACGCAGGCGCACGGAGGGCCGACCCAGAATTACGCGTAAAGCGACGAATTTGCGCTCTTCCTTCGCAGAGCGCGGCCGTGGCACCCGACGCCAAAACTTACTGACTTGTCACCGTAACCAACGAATTACGCCTCGTCTGACGGGGAGTCTCGCTCTAACTCTGGTTTGTTTGTTTGTTTTTAATGCCCCCCGGAGTGGGCTCTTGCCTATTCTTGATGGCATTCCCGAATTGTAACGTAAGAACGCAGATTGGCGCTTTCTGTGGGCGCACCGTGGAATGAGAGCGGAGAGGGGATCGGCGCGTCCGAAGAGTTTCGCGTTTCTGGGGATCGGGTGCTCGCTTCACTCCCCATCGATCAAGGTGACCACGGCGGCGCGACCCGAGCGTTTCCCCCGGAGGCTTGCTCGTTAAATGCGGCTGCCGTGTGTTCCTCCGGTGTCTTTTCCCCGGGCCCCCTTTTCCTGCCGGTTTGCATGATCTGCTGCGCGCCTCCGTCGCGATGCTGCTGTTGATTTCGGCTTCCTCCGCGCTGTCCTCTCGCTGGCGGAGCCCATCTTGAGTTCACGGGAGGGGGAGTGAAGGCGCATCGCCCCCATCGCCGCCGCCTTTGCTGCTGCTGCTGGTGGTGGAAGAGGACGAGAACGAAGGATCTTGCGCGCCCCGGCTTCTCCCCTGGCTGTGCACCTTCGCCAGGCTCATGGTGAGGATCAAGGCGGTGCTCTTCTGGGCTCTGGTGCACAGCTACTGTGGTCTCTGCGCCTGCATTGAGCTGCTGAAACTTTTGTGGAGCCTGGGCACCAGGCCAGGCAAGACCTTCCAGTGGCTGATCCGAGAGAACCCGCCGGGATGCCTCAGTGACCCTTCCTTGGGCACTCACTGCTATGTCCGGATCAAGGTAAATCGGAGCAAAAACGATCCTTGGCTTTCTGGAGGGTTACCCGACTTTTGCTTCTGGAGGCAAATGGGCCAGTTGGCTCGACCGCCACTTATAGTTAGGCGGTGGGTTCCTGGACGCTGCTGCTCTGCTTGGGAAAAAAAAAACAAACCCAACGGGGAAGGTAGGCTGCAGACTGAATGGAGGAGAGTCCAGTTCGCTTTGTCATGGACTGATGGTGTGCTAAGTGCGTGTTAAGAATCTCTCCCATTGCATGCCACGCAAGGCGAAAATCCTGGAAGAGAGGGGAAGGTTGGGCCATGGGGCTGCAGGCAGCAATCTGAGTAGGAATTCAGTGGTGGGAAGGCAACTAGGTGTTGGGGTATCTGGTCTTGTGAACTGGAGGATTACTGTCTTCATCTGTGTTTGGTTTTGATGAGCTGTAACCAGAAACTGGCCACATCTCTCCAGAATGACCCCTTCAGCATTTGTAGAGAAGTACGTAGTCTGGCTGGGATAGTGTTTTTCAATGTCTCAAAGGTGCTTTTTCAAACGGCAACCGGACTTCATTTTTTTCACTTCTCATCCAAGAAGCTTCTTCAGAATTGAATTGAAGAAGCTTCTTGGATAAGAAACCAAACATCGTCAAGGAAAAACAAAGTCTAGTCGCCTTTTGAAAAGGCACCTTGGAGGCAGCCGTGACCCGGATGACTAAGAATCTCCATAGATGTTTTTCAATGGGTTAAAATATATCTTCTCTTTTTTTAAAAAAAATGGGAATTGAGCCTACCGGTGGACCTAAACAAGGTATTCCAGGAAGTTGAGAGGAGCTGCAAATATATTTATACAGCTTTTCCAGATGTGCTTTGTAACTAGTCTTAGGGCTTTAATCAAGAATTAATGCAGAATCTGCCTCTCGCTAAATGGATCACGTTGTAATACAATATTGATTCCAATTATAATATGCAAGAAAGATGGGTTTTTAAAATATTCATTTATTTATATCCCACCTTTATAACTAACTCAACTAACTCAACTAACTCAAGACAGCAAACATATTTTCTTCCTCCTACTTTCTCAACAACAACCACCCTGTGAGGTAAGTTGGGCTTAGTGTGACTGGTCCAAGGTCACCCTGCTGACTCTAGTGGCTAAAGTGGAATTTGAACTCATGGTCTCCTGCTTTCTAGCCTGTTGCCTTAACCACGAGACCAAACAGCTCACTAGTGTGGGTAAATTCTTCTGCCTTGCCATTACTGACGTTTTCCCAGCACGATACACGAGGTGATGTCATCTAATCTCTGGCTAAATTTGAGGGAGCCCCTTGCAAAGCTTGGCTCCAAGGTCACCTTTACTTTGTCTTGTTTTGTGGTCCCCAGCAACTTCGTATCTTCCAAACACATTAAAACTACCCAACATTAGCTCAGATATTGGTGGACTTCGATGATGATCACTTCCCATCTCCATTCACTCTGTCGTTAATCATTAACCACTGCTGTTATCCTAAAGACTTAGCAACATCATCATTTCATGTTTAAAAAACGTCTAGTCACAATAGTTTTTTACTAGGAGCTGCAGAAGAAAATAGACATGATAGGGTAAATTGCATCTGATTCTCGGAGATTGCCTGGAAAAGGCCTTGCAGTTTTCTTGACAAGGTTTTCGGAAATGGTTTGCCATTGCCTCTTTTCCCAGGTCAGCGCGCTGGCTTTGTGTTCTCCTACTTTCTAACAAGATGCCTTTACTGTTACACCAAACTGGCTCTATTGTTCATATGCAATCATTACAAACATTAATTGTAAGAGATTAACAATAGTAGTTGGCTGACAAAGATAATCTGGTTCCAAAAATAGGATTCTATCTTCCATGCTACAAAACTTATATGGCTGAGTCAGCACAACACAAACTGGCCAACTACACCTTAGTTTGGTGTGTTCCAGTTGTATACTTAGTTGATGTTTCTGGGTGTCACTTAAACCCAGCAAATTGAGTTAATCAATGATGTATATTGCATGCTTTTACAGCTTTTGAATGGATTGAGCTACATAAAGTGTGGCTTTTTCAAGCTGAGTGTTTCTAAGGTTTCCTTTCAATCGTTTTTAAAAAATTATATATGTGACTGCCTCAGGGCGAGAAACATATCAGAGCCGCAATCTTCGGAAATGGGGCAATCAGGTTTCCTTTCTCCTGTATTAAAAGGTATAACCTGTTTTCTGTGATTACTTGGCTACCAGTAACCAATTTAATAAAGCATCTCCAAATTCAGAGTGAATCAAAATAGTATCCCTGAGGACAGTTGGCCACATTAGGTTTTATTTGAGGACTATTTGTCACTTCTCCCATCCCTTGCTTTTTCTACCACTTCTAGAAAAGTTTATCTTACACTATCTTTTGTGATACTTTCCTTGGCATCTTAGGACTAAAGAAGTGGCTGAAACAATAGGCCATTTTAAGAACTTTTATTGGATTAGTCTAGATACCCTGCAGTGATCAATAGATGCCAAGGAAAAGTCGCCAAGCAGATCTGAACGGTTTCCCATCACGTGTCTGGTAAATGTTGCATGGATAGCTCCGTGTGTAGCCTTTTCAGTAAGAGATTAATTGCAGCAGCAATATCTACCTCTTAAATACCTTGAAAACTAATTATTAAAGCTAAAGCATTGCACCAAAAGCGAGCGCTATATCAATGTGTTTAACGTCTCTAGTGTTGTTAAATATTTCTTCTGAGCAAATAAATCAGCAATATATAATAAAACAGTATGATTCAAAAAAAAAATAAAGCATTGCAAACATATCTAATTGCATCAGACAATCAACCTCTTAGTGAATTCAATGTAACAGCCCTTAATAAAAATAAATATAAAGTCACATAGTCACTAAGGAGAAAATTTCTATAATGGAAAGGATTTATATGAGGCTTGTAAAACCACAGAAGACTGGTCAGAAGTTCCGAACTTCTTAACTTCTGAACACTTTCTGTAAAATGGTTTATTGCAATATTAGTTTTATAATAAGTGGCTCATATCATTTATTCTAAATGCAACAGCAGTTATTCCAATCCAGAATCCTACACAAACCAACTTGTATGGCGATCTGTTTCTTTTAGTGTAGCCCTTGCCATTAGAAAAACAGATTAAACGAAATATGGTTGTTCAATATATTTTAAAATATTTATCTCTTTACTTAGGTTTATTTTTTTAATACAAGGTAAATTCTTTTCAAAAATATGCAAAACCGTATGTGGACAGGACAGAGAATACAGTAGATGTGAGCCAATAGAAGCTAACCACTAAAACTACATCTACCATCACATGGTATGGTCAGTTGGCTGAAATAGTCTCCTTATGCTTAACTGTTGAGAGGAATTTCATAGAGCCACTCTGAGCCTTCCCCGATAGACCAGATAAGAAACATGATCAGATGAGCTCATTCTACTTTATTGTAAGGCTACATTAATAGATCAAGTCTGAAAGTACAAATCTCCAGTATCTCCTTTACAGCCTGAGAAAGGATCCATTCTGAGCCTCTTTCTCCACCCATTATGCAGCTGTGGGCTGTCCCTTCTGTTGTTTGACTGTCCTCTAGGCAGCAATTCTTTATCCGTCTTTCAAGGCTTTTCTCATAAACTATTACAGTCATACCGGTAGAAGGTAAGGGACATTGGAAATTATCTAGTCCATTACTTGGTCAGTGCAAGAATGTACTACTATATTATTATTATAGCATCTCTGATAGATAGCTCTCCAGCTTCTCTTTAAATGCCTTTAGCACAGGAATGTTTAGCACTTTCAAGGTAATTTGTTCCATTGCTGATCAGCTCTTACTATTAGGAATAGTTTCTTCTGATATCCAATCAAAATCAACTTGTTATTTAAACTTTTTTTGTTCAATGTTCTTTGTGATCTTCAAATATTTGAAGAAAGTTATCAAAACCCTTGCAGGTTTTTTTTCCTTTTCCAAGTTAAACGTATCCTAGGCTTCCAATTGCTCCTTATAGCATTTTCCTTCCAGGCGCTTATTGTCTTAAAATGGTCCTTGGGGCTCTCTGAGTTTGCTTTTTTTCTTGCAGACGTTTCATTACTCAAACAAAGTAACATCATCAATGCTAGTGTTCTCCTTGGTGGTACACATTCCTATTTGCAAATGCCCTTCCTAAACATATACGCCTAAAACTGAGTACAAGGCCGAATGGAGAAAAATGATTTCATTTAAATGAATGCGCTGAATAGATATTTTTCTCAAAATGGTGCACTGTACTACAAATACTGATTTCGAATACTTTTTTGGAGGAGCACTGTAAAGTAAATTCTGTATATATTTTCATACTAAGAATGCATTTTGTAGTTTTAAAAATATCCAAAACTGAATTTTACCTTGATATAAAATGAATTTTAACACTGCTTTGTTCTAATAACTTGCAAAGCCATGATTTAACCATGGTTTATATAATAAACTACAGCTGAATTCACACAACACATTTTGCCAGAATGCTATATTTTATGTCATGTCTGACTGAGTTCGTATATACACTAACCTGTTTGTTTTTCCATATTTGGCTGAGTTCATACAATGCAATAAACCAAAACTGTATGTTAATGCACTGAGCAAAAATAGGACTATTGTATGCACTTGAATATGTAAATACTATATTATATATGTAAATATTTGTAGTAAAAAGACTTACAGGAAATAGTTTTGTGAAGAACCTCTATGGATGCTTAACAAAATGTCATCCCCTTCATATACCAGCAATGGGAAACAGCCAGGATAAGGATAGCTTGTTTAAAATCTGTTGAAAAGATGTGTTAGTCTTAGTCTTAGCTTTCTAATGATTCGGTGTGATAATTACAGTTCTATACCGTAATTGTACCCCAAACTTCAGTTTGCCATACGAAGGAAGCAGAAGTCAGCTGCCTAGATATCTTGCAATTATCCAGAGCAAAAACCTAGGACACATTTTTGCATTGCATCTGGGTGGTAGTCTCTCACAGCTGTCTGATGTCAGCATGCAATGAATAGAA